TGAAATTTCTGTAGCTAAACTCTAAACATTTGAAACTACATCTTCTTTAGTGCAACAGAGTTAATTGCTTGCTGTTTTCAAAAGTGTAAAATTTACATTTCGTGGAAGTTAGTCAGAATATTCAGCAGCTGTGCTGATTATAATCAGACACTGAAGACATAGCTACAGAAATTTCATTTTACTTCAGTATTGTACTCTTCCCTACAATAGTTTATACAGTGTAGTGCTCATTAGCATTCTGGATTTTGTGAATCTTTCTGTCTGACACACAAACCTCCTCTGCAACAAATGTAAGAGTAACCAGCTGCAGTCACACACACTAATAATCTACTTTCAGTGTACTTTCCAACTGGATTCTGCCAGTTCACACAGTAAAATCCAATTGAAAGTGCACTGAAAGTGGATTATTTAATGTGTGTGACCGCAGCCACTGTTCCAACAGGTAATGGCTCTCACTGGTCAAAGGTAGAAATCATTTTCAGCCCTGCTATGTGAGTTTCATTGACTGGATCTTTGACCTGGAATTTTCTGTAATGCAAGCATGTGTTCTACTGCTGGACTACAGATCTCTACCTCAAGAAATACCAAAATAGTCACATGGTTGGTTAATGTTATCAAAGCACTAGAGGTATGATCAAATCACAAACTGGTTTCACATACAACATTTGCAGAGCAGTCCTAAGCAGAGTTACATCCTTATGAGGCCAATCGACTTGTAATGCTGCTTGGGGTTACACTGACAAGTGGCTAGGGACTCATCCTAACCCTCTTTAAATAGCAGTCAGCCTGATAAACCTCCTGGCCAGATGAGCCCCTCTGTGGCTTTTGATGTTTGCCGCCACAGCCAAAACTCTTCCAACTTCAGTATTCCCCTACTTTAGAGTAGACATCGTCTCAAATCCACTGTTAATCTTCATCGGCTAAACTTTAGCTGGCTACCGTTTTCTAGTGACCAGAGGTTGAGTACCAAATTAGAGAGGAAGAAATATGAATCATAATTGTGATTCTTTATTGACTGCTTTCTGCAGTTCAGTGTGCTGAGAGATTTAAATTCAAGACTGGAGTTCTATTAAGTCACTAGTAGAAGTATAGCAGAAATGAATTACACTTATTTTGAATGTTGCTGTAATCTAAAATGTGCACTTCATTTTGTATTTTCTTGAGATGGCCTTTAAAGGTTCTTAATCAATTAATTTACCTGGCCCACTGGAGATGATATAATTGCAGGCATCCTAGATTTTCGTAGTAAATGGTTTTATCATGAGAACTATTCCACCTCAGTGGAGTTATTAGCCTTGACTTGCTTTCTGGGCAGGTATATTTGTTTATATTTGATTTTTTTTTTTAACCATAATATTTTATTAGATTTTAATTCAGAACATAACAAATAAATACAGGTTCTCAAACAACATTTTAACAATTTTTCATATATATGTCAGTGTGTATACAGACTTCCAATTTGACTTACTCAAATACTGATAGAAGTTTGCTAGCTTATCATTAACAATGAGTATTGTGCTGCACTAATCGCTTTCCAATCAAAAGACTCAAAGGTTAACTTATCCACAATTGGATACCATTTACCAGTTGGGTTCATTAGTTCACATGCATTTTGGTCATTCGTGTTAAAAATGGAAACGGTTTCTAATAAAAAATATTCCCATACTTTAGATACTTTAGTTTATATTTGATTATAAAGATGGACTGCATCTGATTTTGTATAATACAGCAAAAGTTAAATGCTTTCTAGTCTCGTTAACTGTCCCATTAAAATTGATGAGAAAAATGTTTGTAAGTTGTGCAGTATATGTAGTGCAATCCTAAGAACACATTACTGGAAGCAAGCTCCACTGGATAGATCTGAGTAGGATTCTGGTTTGCACTGAGAAGGGGGACTACGCATTTCTAGAATCGACAGATTTAATTTTTTTTAGTCACTGAGTACTGAATTGTCTGGGCCAAGATGATTTGGAATATTATGGGAACCCAAACCTCTCATTCTGTTGCATTAAGGATGTTTGTGATCTTTTTATTACAATAAAATATGCTTGGTGTTGGCCAGACTCCCTTGAGCTGAATTTGAAATTGGGCTTGGCAGTCTTTCCAAAAAAGAGTGAGCTGATAGTTTTTTTTAAAATTCTGAATTCTAAATTCAAAACCCCTTTACACTCTTGATTATATTGGGATTGCAACAGTGTCCAAAACTTTGCACATGATCTCTCAAACTCCCTTCTTCTGGTGAATACATCCCAACTTACTTAACAGTCATGGGTGGGCAGCAATACTGAAATATGTCAGTAATTTATTCTGCTATTCAGTATTAGCAGCATGCATTCTGTTGAAGGTACTATATGTTATGTAAAACAAAAATTAGACATGGAGCACTCATCTTTGCAACAGAATATATTTTAATGCTACATAGAATACAGCCTCTGTGTACACTGTGTTGAAATCTACATAGAAACGTTAATGCCACACATGTTGGCTTCTTACTGCGGTAGCTTATCATATGTAGATTGGTCTAAAATATAAACTTTCTTACTATTTTAAATTATAGTACTTTTATACTGCCTTTTAGTTAAAAAAAATAACTCACAAGATGGTTCACAAACCAAAAGCACCCATCAGCCTTACATAGCCAAATAAGACTCAGTCATACCCAAACTAAACTGTATAAAAAACCTTTGTATGTGTTGGGAGTTGACACCCAATCCCGAACTTGACCCTGCCCCAGCTGCCTGATCTGAGGACAGCTGGGGCCCAGACTCATGCATGCAACAAAGATTGGGAGAGGGAGGTGGCTGGGACCCAGACAGATTGTTTCCGTGCAACTGAGAACAAGGCAGGGAACCAGGCAGCTGTGGGGAAGGGCACAGTTAGAAGGCAAGGCTGACCTCAGACTTGGAGAAAGCCAAAATGGAAGAGGCTAAGGAAAAGCCCTGAGCAGCAAGAAGCAGCGTAAGGAGATAGGCCAGGTGGGGGTCGGGCCAGGGAATCCTGTAGAAGGGAAAGCACCACACCTGGCTAGGGAAAAATCAGTGGACCAAGCTGAGACCAGGTACAAAGACACAGCATGGAGAACTAGTCTAGGGAAGGAAGAAGGCCCAAGAGCTGGAGCCTCCTCTCCTTCTCAGTTCTAAAGATGGTGGGCCGACTCTTTGGTAGTTGGACTAGGGTTGTCAGACTTCCAGTCTGGGTGTGGGTTCCCCTGATTTATGGGGCATCAGCCCGGCGCCAGCCAGCTGGTCAATGGGGGATGCCCCACCCCTAAACAGGCACATCACATGTTGACATTGTTGGAGCAATGACATCAAATGGAAGTGATGTCGTCACACCAGGGATGTTGTGTGGTGACGCTCTAGCATTTTAGCCAAAACTGTATGGAAACCATAAAGTTTGACTAAAATGCAAGAGCATCACCATGATACATCCCCAGTGTGATGACATCACTTCCGCATGATGTCATTGCACTGGTGACATTGCCCTGCCCCCCACTCCCAGAAGGCTTCCTCCCACCGCCCGCTGGCAGAACAGTTGCACCTGGCAACGCTACATTGGATAGCAGGGAGACCTTCTTGGGGGTGGGAGAGCCTCATAATAAAGTTGTGGGTTTTTAAAATCTTGATATCTTTTTTAAAAATCACATTCAATGGCAGTTATGGAATACTTTAAAAGCCATCCAGTATCAAAGGTTTAGTGGAATAATTTTTTAAAAATGTCTTCATTTGCCTCCAAACAGAGACAAGTGACAAAAACTAACCTGACTGAGGGAACTAGGGCAACTACTGAGAAGGTTTTGCTCATCTTGCATCCATCTGAGATGTTATTCTGAGCAGGATATTGCCAGCTTTAGCAGCTCACATAACCCAACATCCTGTCTGGCTTTTAAGAGGGTGGAGGAGATCTTGACATAGTTGTTGACAGCATTTGCAGTGATGGGTACTGAATCCCAGTATCTTATCCAGTGGGTCTAGATTGTCACTTGTTTGAAATATGCCCCATTTTTTGCTTGTATAACTTTTCAGACATCCTTTAGGTAGCCAAATCACAGATCCTGAAAAGTGACCTTTTTAAAAAATGAAAACAATAATCTTAACCACTGCTTTCACCTGAAAAAAATTGGAAGATGTGAGAAGGAGCACCGAAATAGTTGGAGCACTGAAATCACCTGGAGGTCATTCCACGACTAGAAGCCGTTTCCACATACAGAACGATTTGATTTAGCTCTCACTGCCTCTGCAGTACATGATTCAGTAAATACCATTCTGGGCCCTGTCTGTGTCCAACCCTGCTGTCTTTTAGTTCCAAGATTCTTTATGATGTCTCTCCAAATTCATCATCCTAGCTGAGGCAAACAAGGCAATGAGTTGGGGATATCAGCAGAACACAGCTAGAGTTCCTGATTGCTACAACTCTTCCCTCTAGCAGTAGTAAGACAATACAGGTAGTGCCACAAGATCTTTTATTATTTATTATTTGGTTATTTATAATCCACCTTTCTCACTGAGACTCGAGATAGATTTTATTGTCAGAATTGTTAGGTTCTGGTGTTTAGATGTTGAGGCATTTTGAATCCTAATTGTACCCACTCAGGAAGACCGTCATTCCCTATAGCTTGTTTTGATCTGTGTGTGATAATAGTTTTGGAGCAACAACTAAATCATTACTATGAACTTCAGTAGAAACAAGCACTCTTTTAACTAACCGAGTCCAGTGCATAAAACATGGGCTGCTTCAGCTGCTGCTTCTATTCTGTTTGGGTTGCTGCCTTCTGTGTCAGAGTTCTTTAAACAGCTGAGAGATTTTCACTTTCTGCTGTTCAGTTCCACTCACATTAACATCTGTATACAGCACCAAAGATACATATAAATGGACTTCTACTGTTTCCCACTCATAACTCCACACGTCTTTCTTTGATTTTTCTACTTTAAAATTGTCACTAGAGATACTGGTGGAATCTACTGTTAATACTCAATTTCTTAACTTCTTTTAATTAACAGAGAGAGCCTGCAGTGTCATCGGATGTTTCCATCTCTAAAAGTACGCTGTACTCCCGGATAAGCAGCTCAGAGGCAGAAAGTACCTCCGGTTTGCTTTACCAGCAGCAAGATTTGGATTCTGCATTGAGAGTTGCCAGGGAAGAGGTAATGTAATCTCAGATAAGAATGTGCTGCCGCTTATTAGTGGATTTGCATAAACATAGTTCCTCTGAGATTGGTTTACTTCATTTTTAAAACGGCATGTAAAAATGTGTAACAGTTTAAGATGCTGCACTTATGGGCTGCTTCAGTATTACAAATCTTCCCTTAATAGTTGAAAGAGAATTGGTTAAAGGGATCACACAAGTCCTTCTAAAGCCCCTCCCTTTTCACATAGGAATTATTTCTTACAATCTTTATAGTTTGACACCATCTGTGTCTATGTTAGCTGAGGCTAGTTCCAACACAAGGGCATTCAGTATTTTAAGAGTTAGGCATGGTTAAATGACAGCCAGCTTTGGCCACCCTGATCCATGGATGTACACCTTCTTGAGATCTATATAACAGAAAAGTGGCCCCTTTCATAGGTCCAAATAATCAATTTTCTCCAGGGGAACTGATCTTTGTAGTCTGGAGATGAGCTGTACTTCTGAGGGATCCCCAGGTCCCACCTGGAGGCTAGCACCCCTTAATTATATCCCTTAATAATTACTATTATTATTTACAATTATTTGCATCCCATAGGTAAGCTGGGTCAACACTTCGGCAGAAAAAAGCTTCAAAGCTGCCAGGACTAAACCTAGGCCCCGGTCACACGGGCCGGATATCACGGGGGGGAGGCGTGGCTGTTTGCCCCGGAGCGAACTACCGCACGGCAGCCGGATCAAACGTCCCGCCAACGTCCCGTGGTTGGGGGGAGCTGCCGATCATACCTCACTCCTGCAGTGCGGCAAAGAAGCAGCGCCGCGGGGGTTGTGTTGGTTTTTTTTAACCCAAGTGTTCGCATGCACCGTTAAGTGCTTGTGCGCACCCGTGGAGACTTGACCAAAAAAACTTTCCACAGCGGGACATGGGTGGGCGCCGGATGCCACGAGCTAACATCGGAAACGTGATCTGACGCCCGCCCTTGCCCCGCGGTTTCTGGAAACTAGTACCTCGGAGGTACTAGTTTTTTACAGCGCATCTTCGGAATGAAGCCTCGGGTGAGCCACGGGAGCTCTACGCTTCCCAGATATGGCAGTGAGATCACGCCCAGAAAATCCGCCTATCTTCCGTCTCTCTAGCATGCCTAATGCTCCGTGTGACTGAGGCCTAAGGATAGCATTGGCACTTCTCTCTGCTATATTCATTGCATATGTGATGTGAGCTGATGGACTGCCATTGTACGAGAAGATTATCCCCAGATATTTGAAAGATTTTACTTGCTCAATGAAACAGTGTAATCAGTGATGACCCGCATCCCCGTGCATGTGTCCATGTGGCAGCTTCATTCTGTCACTCTTCTATAGAGCTTGCTTACCCTTAAAGTTTTCTTAAATGACTGAAGTACAAGTATGGTGCTGGCTAACCTACCAGTGCATTTTGATTTAGAAGTTTTGTTCCACTCAGCCTATTTAGGATATTCTGTGGCAACATGCTTCTGTACTTTAAGATGCAATAAACTGTTTATTTTGTAACAGGTTGTAACTAAGGAAAGGGAAGTCTCAGAATGGAAAGATAAATATGAAGAGAGCAGGAGGGAAGTAATGGAAATGAGGTGTGTATGTCTTTGTGCTCTTTCTAAAGCAACACTTTTAAATGAATTAAATTGCTACTGTGATGGGTGGAGTAAAAGGAATGTGTTTGTGACCTATTGTAACTTTTGACAAATGTGTCTCAGTAATTCCAGGGAGCCACCAAAATTCCTTTCTGCCATAGTACACCGAGCCCTTAAAAGAGAGCCTTGTGCGGACTGTTTGCAAGGCTTTTTGTTTCAGCCTTTAATTGGAAACCTGAAAATATGCTGATAGTATTTTCATACACAGTTGAGATGACTACATGGTAGTCCGAGAAATCAAGCCTCTGCCATCTGGGTGGATAATGTTTTAAAATCTTTGTCATGGTAAAATCTTACAGATGTTGCACAGGATGCTAACAAAGTTCTAAGCCTGTTGGGCAATCCACTGGGCAATTCACTCTTGTTCAATTGTCATTGGGGCTTGCACAGAGTATCTTGGTGGTTTGGGTGCTACTGGCATTGGCATTCATTCATAGTGACCAAAGCAAGTCCAGCAGAAGGTAATGTAGGATTTCAATTAACGAAGAAGAAGAGGAGGAGGGGGATTTATATCCTGCCCTTCACTTGGAATCTCAGAGTGGCTTCCATTCCTCTCTGCACAGACAGACACCTTGTGAGGTGGATGGGGCCTGAGAGAGCTCTGAGAGGACTGCTCTCGAGAGAACAGCTTTGAAAGAACTTATGATTGACCCAAGGTCACCCAGCTGCCTGCATGTGGAGGAGTGGGGAATCAAACCCTGTTCTCCAGAGTAGAGTCCACCATTCTTAACCACTACACTAAACTGGCTCTCACCTTTTAAAGCCCTGGTAACTTTTAATTTAAGGGCTTTATATACGGAAATAGTAGAATTTGTTTCTATTTTGAGGATCTGTCCTCAGCCTCTGACCTAATCAGGGTGGTATTCAACATACAAACAAATTTTGGGAAAAGGGCAGCACAATAACAGTACAGTCCTGCACAGAGTTATACTCTTACGTCCATTGAAGTCAGTGGGTTTGGAAAGGTGTAAATCTGCTTGAGGGTGCGCTGCAAGTCATGCAAAGAACTTTGAAAACTCACTTTGCAAATTGTAACTTGGCACTCAAAAGCTAGGGATAAAACTAGTCGCATTTCATTAGCCTGATTCTCTGTGGAAGACATGGATCAGCTGCTTAAATCAGTTTTAATCTGCTTATTCTAGCTAGCCTCTTTTTGAAAACAAATTCATTTGAGTGTTATGTTTAAAATGAGGACAATGCTTTGGAATAATAGTTTTGCTTCACAGGTTTTAAAGCAATGGCATAAACTGAATGGATTTTGCTATGGTATCACAGATTATTTTTGTAGTTTTTCTGCTCAGAACACAGTGTTTTAATATTGCAGTGGATACAGGATTAGGCAATACAACCCTTTCCCTGCACCACCCATATTCTTCAGTGCAAAATAGCCAACTTTAAGAATTCACTTTTACATAGAATTGCAGAAGAGCAAAATCTGTCTTGCCTTCAAGTCATTGACAGATCTCTTGTTGGATTTAAATAAGGCTGAATCACTCCTGTAAAACATTCTAAAATTGTGAACTGTTTTTAATTTTGTTAATGCAGGTTTTTTTATTCAATTTAGTTCAGAACAGAGGTCATTTCGGGGGGGGACGCGGGTGGACGCAGTTCCCCCGGGTGAGGTGGGGGGGCAGGGCACACAACAAAGCCACACCCCCTGCTTCCGGCCGCCCGCTTCTGGCCCTCATTCAGCCAGGAGGAGGCAGGAGAAGAGGGAGGGTAAGTTGCTTCCTCCCCGCCTCTCCCCACCCCTGCCTGCCTGGGGCCAGGGAGGGCCTTGGCGGGGCTTCTTCGCACTCCCGCCGGCCTTGCAGGTCCACCGCTGGGCGTTATGATGTCAGGGGGTGTGGCATATGGTAATGAGTTATGCTAATGAGTTCCCCTAGCTCTTTTTCTACGAAATGACCCCTGGTTCAGAAGCTTTGTATCTGTGGAACTCTTGTGTTGCATTTGGGTGTCATGATAAACCTTGGTTTGTTTAAATCAGAAACTGTGCAAAAAAACTCTGGTTATGGAAGGCTGTTTCCACATGGGTAAGATTCTCCATGTTGCTCTCATTATCACTGAGAATGCAGAGACGTTTAACTTTGGGCAATGGAGCATCCACACTGGACTCTTCTGTGCACTTTCCTCCATCAGTTGCCTTTTTCTTTGCTGCATCACTGAATGGGTTTTTTTTAATACTTGCAATTTGCTATAGCAGCCCCTTCCATGGTGCTGTGGAGAAAATAGCATTGGCAAGAAACTGGCAGAAGGAAAATCATGCAGGTGTAGGTAGGGCCTTGGAAATGATATATCTTTCCATTCAGACAACATGCTTACACTACCCTTACCCCAAAAAGATTGTAATGGAGCAGGTTTGGTAAATAGTGTACTGAGGATGGGGGAAAGGATGGCTGGAGCACAACATCACATGGGATCCCCCTTCAAGTGTTACAGTTTGGAACTGAAGCAGAGCAAGATTTCTGTGTGGAAACAAGCTAAGTAACAAATTCCAGGCTGTCAGATTTTGTTCAGTCTGCTTCTTGCCTCCTCTTTACCTCCCAGCAAGGAAGAAATCCTCTGCAGGCACCTATAGGGGCTACTTGACTTTGTTCATGAATTCAGACATTGTGATATAGTAAAACAAACCTGGTTAACAAGCCATCTATCGGCCTGTTCTGAAAGAGTCACAACTAACCAGAACTTGATCAAAATATGATTTCTCATATTGTCTGAATGCACTGTTAGAGTTCCATATAGGTAGTTCATTTTCTCCTCACATTGATCAAGGTTACAAAGCTAATTAGTAGAGGCTATAATTCAGTGTTAAAACAAATGCATCACATGGAAAAAGCTTTGGGATTAATATGTCTTTTTGAAGAATCTGGTAGAAGGTGTGGGGAAGGATCCTCCTCTGGTAAAGGTGGAACAGACAGTATGGAGAAGGATGGACAAACTGTATGAGGTGATATAAGGCAGCTCCGTATGTTAATTTTTGCAGGAAAAAGTTGACAGTAGTTTCCAGCTTGATCACAATAAAGAGCTTGTGTATGTATATTCCTTTTGGAATTATCACAATGGCTAAGACTGCATAGGGTGAAGCAGTTTGCAGTGGTCTATCATATTAGTACTCGACTGTGCGACTGGACAACAACAAATCATATTAGTAATGCGTGTGTTTGCAATTTTGTATGAAAATGAAAGCATTTATACTTTTAAATCCCAGAAATATGCCAATAAACACAGTTTTATATGCTAAGTAAGTTATAAGTGGTGTGGTTGGTATTATTAAAGCAGCAAAAGCGATTTAATCTTGATAGGAAAATAAGTATTGCATATATTTCAGTTTCCCTCCCAGATTTGTTTTTTCTTGGGGGGGAAACTGAAAAAGATTTCTCAAGGCTTAAAAATTCCCAGGAATTTTACATCTTTAGTTATAGAAACCTGTCAGATGTGCAGGATGATCTTGGTGCTGCCATGGAAGTGCATGCTTTTCATGCAGAAAATCCCCGATTTAATTTCTGGTATCTCCAGTTAAAGGATTGCTGATAGCAGATTCTGTGAAATGCCTTTCTGTGTCTAAGAGATGCTGCCAGTCAGAATAGTCAATATGGAGATACATGAACCAAGCTGGTATAAGGCAGATTCCTATGTATGTTCATGGGTGCCTGGTAAAGCCTTCCATGTGTGTGTTTTACATAGTCCAAATATACCATGACAACAGAAGGGATATCTCTAGCATCAGGCAGTTTACAATATGCAGGTGGCAGATATTACGTGGATTGTTCTGCATGTGATTATATGTTGCCACATTGTGACTCACACATATTTGTCTTCACATATATGTTGAAGTTATTTAGTAAGGCTGAATGTGAATATATGCCATTGCAATCTTTAATCTTTTTTGGATGTTTGATCAGCATTTTTCCTTTCCTTTTATAGGAAAATTGTATCAGAATATGAGAAGACGATTGCACAGATGATCGGTAAGTGGTGTTGTCACATAAAAGATTTTGCATGCTTTGAACTTTGAACATATATAAAGAGGCTGCTGAGGACTGTGATCTGGTAATAGGCCCCATGCATTACACTGAAATGTTATTTCCATGCTAATGTGCACAGTAATCTGTCATATTGCGGTTGAGGATTAGACCAATATAATGGTGCAGTCAAGAAAATGATGGTTGATTAGGACAGATATTTGAAGGGCAAGGGGGACAGCTGGGCCATTGGTAAGCTCCACTCTGCAAAATACCCAGAATGAATTTTCCCAATCATCCAAGAAAGTGCTCTCACTAAAAGCATGATAGCATGTCAGTGTTCTGTCTTGGCTAGGCAGGTAAATAATTTTGAATAAAATACTATTTCTGAAAATACTGTAAGACTCTTTTACTTTGTTGGTATTTCTAGCCTATGTTAAAATTTGAGTTAGTTTGGGGGATCGCATTCCAAATCATGCTGGACATGAGCGGTGATTGTAGCTGAAGGCTTGAATCTAGTACTGGGGTGCCCAACATTCAGCCTGTAGGGATGTGATGTGTAGCACATGGCCCTGGCAATCTGCCCACCTGGAATGGTCAGAACACAGTTTCCCAGGTGAGAGGCATGGCATTGTGAACACCACCTGGGAAAATTCTGCTGCATTCAGAGCAGAAAATTCCCTGACAGGGGGGGGGGCATTCAGAATTGAGCCAGCCACCTGAAAAAGAGAGAGACAATGAACATTCCAAAATGTACCCCACCCACTGCCTAACAAATATGTACTGCATCCGTGCTCTGGATGGAGTAGATGTTTTATGGGTAGGGGGTATGCTTGTGCAGGAGACAGGGATTTCCCTGTCCTAGATTGGAAGTGGCCATGACATAGAAGTCTGTCCACCTTACAGCTGATTGATGCCTTCAGCCAGGGCTCAGAGAGATGCATCTTCTAGGCATTGGCAAATGAGATTGCTCCCTGTTTCTTATAAAGGGGGATACCTCCCTCATGAGAGATAGTAAGCAGTGAGAGGTATATGCAAATTATAGTCCTGCCTTTAAAAGGGCCTGGGAGGAGGTCAGTGAGTTCCAAACAGTGCAGGAGCTGACAGAAGAAGGAGGAACTGGATATCTCTAAATCTCCTTTCCCTCTGAGGGCCTGTGGGTGGCATCACAAGGCTGAAGCAACTGGGAAGATATGGTCTGAGCCCCCGCCCCAAACACACACAAGTGCTTGCAATACAAGCCACCCCCACCCTTAGGGTTGGCAAGTGTACTTACCCTTGCCGGCGGGGGAGCTCTCCTAGGATGTGTGTGCGCATGCGCCACCAGCACGTCACAGGAAGTGACATGCTACGTCGCTCACGTTGGGGGCGTGGCCCAGATCGTCGGGGGGAAACCATATGGTTTTCCCCCGACTATCTGGGCCACGCCCCCAACGTGAGCGACGTGGCGACGCAGCTTCAGGGGGCGGAGTTCCCCCCAGGGCCCGATTCCACCATGGCGGAAATCGGGCCTCCAAAGCGGGGGTTTCCCCGCCCCCACTTGGCAGCCCTACCCACCCTCCAAATTATAACAGTAAAAAATTCTCTGTTTCACCCCAGGCACATGCAAACATAGATTTCCTAGAACAAAGTCTGAGTCCAGTGGCACCTGGTCAAACTTCGTTCTGTTGCTTCAGACCGACACCACTACCCACTTGAAAAAATTTCCTAGTCAGGGATCAGAACACTGTCTCTCAGCCCAGAAGAGAGCAAGAGTCCAATAGTACATTAAAGACTAATAACTTTAGTGGCAGGGTATGAGCTTTCTTGAGTCACTGCTCACTTCTTCAGATATCTCAGCCCAGAGAACAGCTGAGGAGTTGTAGGACGTCTTGGACAAAAGCTGTGATGCAGTCCACAGCTCCAGTCAGTACCCCTTATTGGTCCCCCAACTGCTTGATTCATGCACTCCTGGTCTAGAACACTTTTACCAACAGAGAATCACATATATATTGCCTATGAAGCTTATGGCCTCAGAATAAACCATATTAATTATAAAATGGTGCTACCCAGCTCAGACTGTCAGTTATTAATTAGATAAAAATAAATCTTTATATCTACTTAATTTGGGATGTAATGGTTGTTCAGACCCAGGACCCATGAAGGAGTATAACATTGAAGGGTCTGAAATATTTATGTAACAATTGGAAGCTGTGTAATTTTGGTCCTTGTCAACATGCATCTGATAAATCCAAGGGACCTGGTCAAGTCAGCTAAGTCCATGGTGAATACGGATCTTGTAAACTGGGTGTAACCATATGTGTGCTTTCAGGCAGAAATAAATTGGGAAGGGGAAATTCCTATTTAGCAGAGGAATAGCAGCTGTCTTCTGCTAAGTTTCGGTTGCCTGGGAGTACATCTTGTAGTTGAAGCCAGATATGGGGCTTCTGTTTGAGAAATACAAACACAGAAGTGTTTGTGCCGGTCAGAAATACGAAATTAAAGATTTCATTATACTTTTCATTGTGGTTATGAACTGTGGTGTCTGCACCTGCTCCAATTAATTATTTCTGTTCCTGTATGTGCATTTCATGATACTTGCCTGGTCTGTTCCTTTTATTAGTTCTCCCATGTCAGTGTCTTTACATGTGTTCTTACATTTTTCCAGTGTGTGCTGTGAACATCTTTTGTTTGGTTCTGATAGCAGGGCTATTGCTGGGAGCATCCCCAGTGAAAAAAAAATTGCCCAAAGATACCCATCACTTGCCCTTCATTTTGAACTTTCTGTAATAAGCTGGCTTCCCTCAAATCAAGACACAGAAACAAGTGTCTTGACCATTTCCACTTAACTTTTATTCCTTTTGCATCATTCATTCTTCTTCCTTGACATCAGTCAGCCCCTAGAATATTCCTCCAACATCACTGTGTTGTAATGTTTATCTTATTTCAAAGAGCTCAGAGTAGTTTTATAAACCGTTCTTAGACAGTTTCATATTCTTGCAGTTCTTGGACCCAGATCACTTACTAGATCATATGCTTGAGAACTAGTCTCTGAGCACTGAGTCTCCTTTGGTGCGACTGCATCTGTGGTTTTGATTTTATTCTTGTTGAAGTCTTGCTCCAGACGTTTTGGATCTTGCTTGGTCACTGTGAACCACTTTGGGGGTAGTCCTTTGCCATTTCTCTACCGGTAAAATTGAATACCCACTGATTCTTATTTTGAACTATATTTAAGATGGATTTGCTAACTGCAGTAATAGCTTGAATTTAGGGAACTATATGCTTTGGTAAATATGCAAGTGTTCACATAACTCTTGTGAAAGTCATCCAAAGTATTGAAAACCTTTAACTGCCATTTTCAGACAGTATCCTGTTGAAGAGAGAAGTTCGGGTGTTTGGTTAAATGGACATTTTCCATGCAAAATAAGAGTCTCGTGGCTCTTTTGGCTGCAGCCGAGTAACATGGCTGGGCCTGTGAAATTTATCTTGTGTTATCTTTCCGAAAGGCATTATAACTGCAGCCCATGCTGACCGGAATTTTACCGGTCTGCATTAGTTTTGGTCACCTGGGTAGGGACCAGGGTAGGCTGATTACAGGGAAGTAAGATTCCTGGAGGTCAGTGCATGTTGCACATTTTGCATTTTGGCATGTTCATCGTGGCTTTGATTTTTAAAACACGCTTTCTGTAATCTGGTTTCCACTCCCAGAGAGTGTTCACTCACTTTCTTGCAGGGAAAAAATTATCCCAGTTTAAGAACAATTCCTGCTTGCAGCTTGGAAGGATCCTTCTGAGCTCTTTATAAATCCTGAGCTTGAATATATTGTACTAATCCCTTTTGATAGAATACTGAATTAGGTCAACTGGTCCTGATGGGGCTTTTAAATAGCATCTCAACTAATGCACTGTTTAGTTCTGCAACTCTTGCTTGTGGCTACAGTGTAAGCCAGGGGTCCAAAAGTGCCTGTGAGCATAGTTCAGGCTTAGCACTCTGAGTCATGAACTCTGTAACGATTTGCAAAGTGCTTGTTTAGTATCCTTTGGCACATTACCTTTGAGATGTTGTCTGTCTTCAAATAATTTTTCTTTGTTTTCCTCGACATATATAAGACTTTATACTTTTACCTGTTCAGAGAACTCATGCTAGACACAAGAATTATGTGTCTGCTTTGAATGTTTCCTGGGCTCTTTTGTACTAGCCCTTTTGTACTAGTCTTATATATAACCATTATTCACATTTGTAACACTTCCTCTTGTTGAACTGTTCATTCATACATTTATTTATCCCTGCATTAGACAGCTGGCATCTGATTCATTCATTCAAAATGATTATTTGAATCTCTCCCATCATAGAACTAAAGGAATATTGTGCTCTCTGCATTACAGATTGTTGCATTTAAGTTTTTCTGCTTCCTTGATAAATTCCCTGATTTTTTTTCTATTTGCTTCCATTTTTGTTGCTTCTTGTTTGCTTGCAAATCCAAAACAAAGGCAAGCCTGGTAAGTAAAGCTTTTGCCAACTTTGGCACCTGCGGATTGCATTTTTTTCCCTTCGCTTTTATTCTGTGTATTTGCTATCTTTGTAGGGAATACCAGACCTGGAAAACTAACATGTTTCCAAAGACTTGGCATATTTGAGAGTGGGATTCATTGTCCTCTTTAATCTCAGGTCCAGTATCAAATAGCATTTGGCAGCATATTTTTTCATTCCCTGTTGACAGATGGCCCAGTGGTTTACAAACTACTTGCAATGTTGCATCATGTACGTTACTGATAGAAATCTCAGGGACAGTTCATGTCTACTTTTTGGCCACATATTTATACATTGAAATGAAGAACAATATTATTGCAATATTGGACCATCTTTCATGAAACAGCAAGTGTGTAACATGGAGAGATATGCAGGCTCCACTTATGGAGGCAAGTCATTCAGTTCACTTACAGGGAAAGTTGTTACTGCAGGACTGTGAAGCGAAGAAGTATCTTTCCTCTACTTTGGCATAATGTGAAAAGCTGCTTTCTCATGTCTTGTAGGAGAGGGTGGGATGCAGGCTCGTAGCTACAGTGGGGCATCTCGGGGCTAGGCCCCCTGACTTACTGGCCAGGCCCCACGACTTCCCATCCAGCCAGGGCCCCTGAGCGGTGGCAAGTGTGGGGAAGGAGATGGGTATTCCTTTAATTCGATTAGCCAGTACCCCCCAAGAAATGTAAATGCCCCCCGACTGAAAAAAATCCTGGCTACGGGCCTGGTGGGATGGGGGTTTTGTCAGAAATTTGAGACAATTAAAGGGTGAGATATTTTGGAAGTGATTATGAAGAAAAAAGAGAAATAATGTGAAGACCACAATGAAGCAGGAATTGTGGCAGACAATCAAAATTTAGAGACTGAAATATTAGGTATCAAAAGGACTGACGGGATAGAATTAATAATGGATTTCAGCAGTTGATTTTTAACATGCTTTCCCATTCCATTGGTAAGAAAGTCGGGCATGTATTAAAATGTAAAGTTCTCTTGATTCTGATTTCTTAGCTGTTCTGGGGAGAAAAGGAAAAACGGGGCCATGATCCAGGGTTGCATGTGCTAATGCTGTTCTCATACATGGGAGTTTTTCAGCTCCTTTCTTGCAGAGGCTCTGAGCACATTGCCTCACCCCCGGCCACAGCTACTCTCATAGCTGGGAAATTCTCCACAGCATAATTCCCTAACACAAAAGAATGCTGCCTTGAACCACAAGAGAAGATGGGATATAAGTGTTTTAATGAATTTAATAAATAAAACAATCATTTCAGATGAGCATCATAACTTCCTAGTGGTTTATAAATAATTAGACAAGCACATTTGCTGACCATCTCATGCTTAGGCTTATGTTAGGCTGTGGTTCAGTAGTATGAATGGGCATGAACTGAACCACAAAGCGAAATTCGTCACTAATTTTGCTTTCTTTGTGGTTCACGAACCAACATTTTTGACAGGTCTATCACGAACTTCCATGAACTTTTAAAGTAGTTCCTGGAGAGAGCAGAAAGTATGGGTTTAAAGGGACTTCCTTTAAACCCCTGCTTTCTGTTCCCCGCAAAAGCCACTAAAACAGCTCAGTGGCAGGGAGCCACTCAGCTGTTTTGGGCTGTCTTGTGCTGTCCCTTTAAAGCAAGCTGCTCAGCTGTTTTTTGGGCTTTCTGCAAACACCATTCAAAGTGACTGCAGTCCCTTTCAATGCGGTTTGCAGGGCCATGAACCACAAACCAGTTTGTGAACAGACTTCTTGGTTCGGTTTGTGGTTCAGCCATGGACCGCAAACCAACATGAACTGCATTTTTCCAGTTCATGCCCATCCCTATTCAATAGCTTCCTACTGATTTTACCCACTTCTTACTAAAGTGAAAGGTTTCTAGCCTGCCTAACTGTTTTGCCTTGTAATGCCTCTCCCTTGAGAATAATGGTTTGATTATCCTAAATATCTCTTCTGATGCTGGAACATATCAAAATCCCCACATATTTAAGTGGGGGAAAGTGTATGATCTCATTTAATAATGTGAATAGGAAGTCCACATTGGTAATATAGTTGTGATGGTTTTTACTTTGCTACTCTGGGGTGTGTTTGAAGCGTTTTTCAATATATACATTGAAAATAATATTTTCAGTATAACTGCTATGATTAAGTAGATGTGGTTACAGGAAACCTAGGTCAATTGCCTTACAGGAAGTGGTTCTTATTTCCTTTCTACATGCATGAAAGTAAGTTAAAATTAATCCTCCCCTTCAAAAATCAGTTTGGAATCAGTGAAATATCCTGTGCATCTCTCACCTAAATTTCTCAAGCAACATTTCTAAAACTGCAGTTTACCTTTGGCATCAGAGAGAACCATTTTAGTATTTCATGTGACTGAATTGAGCAAATATCTTTGAAACTGTGCGGTACTGATGAGAATAATTTTTGCACCATTTTGTTTGGCTATGTAGGATTATAAGACACTGCTGAAAAGAGTTATTTTGCAACCAGGTCCTGTACATAAGAACATAAGAGATGCCAATGTTGGATCAGGCCAAAGGCCCATCCAGCCCAACACTCTGTGTCACACAGTGGCCAGAAATACCAGTGCCATCAGGAGGTCCACCAGTGGGGCCAGGACATTAGAAGCCCTTTCTCTGTTGCCCCCCCCCCCCAAGCACCAAGAAGACAGAGCATCACTTGCCCCAGAGCCCCTATCTATACCTTGTGGCTAATAGCCACTGATGGACCTCTGCTCCATATGCTTATCTAATGCCCTCTTGAAGCTGTCCATGCTTGTAGCCGCCACCACTTCCTGTGGCAGTGAATTCCATGTGTTAATCACTCTATACTGTACTTATAGGTCAGAATAAAAACAGATGGTCTTCTTTTCAGAATTTAACTGTATATCAGAAAAACTAATCAAATAAATAGTTTAAAATAAATATTTGATATCAGTTGGAGCCCTGACTTGGATGGCCCAGGCTAGCCTGATCTTGTCAGATCCTGGAAGCTAAGTAGGGTTGGCTCTGGTTAGTCCTTAATAGGAGACCACCAAGGAAGTCCAGGGTTGCTATGCAAAGGCAGGCAATGGCCACCTATCTTTGAGAGTCTCTTGCTTTGAAAACCTTGTGGGGTCACCATAAGTTGGCTGCAACTTGACAGCACTTCCCACCGCACTGTGCTTTCTGTACTAGTTGTTAAAGAAGCCATAGGCCATATGATGTTTAGTTTTCTTTAGGAAAGGGCTGAAAACCATTGACTTTTACTTTTTAAAATGTTGAGTATCTCTACTGAACCAACAATAGATTATGCAAAGTATTACAGTACTCAGCATAATAGCGTTCACGTTGTATTTTTACATGATGCAGACATGCTATATCTGAGTACAGCAAGCATGTCTGTCAGTAGAGATGTTGTACAGATATTCTTATCAAGGAGCTGAAATTTGTTACAGGCCCCAAATCAGAAGACAGTGCCGGTCTGCCACCAGTTATTTGCCTTACATGTATCTGCCTTACTGTTGCAGCAGGATGGGATGATTTAATTTGCATATGCTCTTCATTATTATTAATTAATCTTTTGATTGGGATGGGTTTTGTTGTTGTTTTTCTTTGAGGAGTCACTGTTAAAGTGGTGGTGCATGGGAGTCCAGGTGATTCCAGATGCCCAGATCTTCTGACTGTTACTGACTTTTAAATGAGCTCATTTTTACATGCTGGGATCCTGATTTTGCAGAGACAACCATTGCTGTTCATTAAATGCGGCAAGGTGCATGCTTTGACTTAAACAGTGGCCACAAAAGGCCTTTTTTGTACAGAAGTTTTCCTTTTTGCACTTAATGCCTGTTTTTGTGCAAAAGGAGAACAGCTCATCAGTATTTCATTTAAAATATTCCAGTATCAAGAGATGTGGTACACTTTGGATACCTTTGTCTAAAAACAAAATAAAAGAACCTTCTATCATTGTTTCTCACAGAGGATGAACAGAGAGAAAAGTCAATGTCCCATCACACAGTTCAACAACTGGTTATGGAAAAAGAGCAAGCATTATCAGACCTGAATTCTGTGGAAAAATCTTTAGCAGATCTTTTTAGAAGATATGAGAAAATGAAAGAAGTTCTTGAAGGGTTTAGGAAGGTAAGTCACTGTGAATAAATACCTGTATGCTTGCCCATCTACACATTTATCTGTCATACCTATGAGCTTCTGCTGCCATTTTAACTGAGGTTCCTATGACTAAGGGCTGGATGTAGCTAGATGGTTCCTCTCCAGGAAAGGATACAACTGACAAACCAGCCTAAGCTGGTAAGATGCATTCCTGGTTACCTTCTCCACCAAAAGAAACTGCTCTGGACTTACCTGGGGCTGTGTTTGCTGAGAGTGGAGAGAGCACTGCTATTTGTCAGCTCCTGCTAGCAGCATGTGGCTTGTGGGGAGGGGGGGCGGCAGCTGGTCTCATGTGACTGCACTGGGGAGGGGTGGAGTCCTGGGGCTGCCTACACGTGCGATCCCTGCACAGTCCACCTTCCCCTTCCCCTGTTTAGCTGGACTGCTACCAGGGCTTGCCCTCACTTGAAGTTGGCTCTCCTTCCCACCCACCCACCCACCCACCCCTTGTGTCTCATTGTTGCAGGTTGTGTTTTGGTTTACTTTGTCCTGTTATATGCACTTGTCATAGTTGGCTGGCAGTTTGGGCACTGGGATGAATCCATTTGGAGGGAGGTGGTGCCTGCGTGCCCACATCCCCCATTTTGGGGACCCACTTAAGGGGTCTTGAAGATGGAGCCTTGCAGCGGCATGCCCACCAGGTGGCGAGGGACTGCACAGTGTCTTGTGCCCATGTGGGATCTTGAGGCTTGCCACTCTGCAGTTCCCCCCAACAGGCAAGCTGAGCAGATGGAGTTACATTAAGCGGCAGGTGGGTTACCCAGTGCTGGATCCTTCCCCTTGCTCCTCCAGTGCTCCTGCGGTTGTATACAATATAGCTGTGGCCTGTTTTCCCCAATTGTTGTGTTGTGTTTGCTCCTCCCTTGCTCCATTGCTCCTTGCCTAGCCCCTGGCCTGCAAGATCTGGACGTAGGCAGTACTGCAGTCTAAGTGACACCTCCTCGATTATGTCCCCAGAAAGAGGGTGCTGCCCTCTTTGGACAACAACACGCTGGTGGTCCCTGGCCCTAAGGGTATTCGGCTGTCCTCAACTAGGGCAGGGCCCTGCGGCACCTTATGCAATTCCGCAGGGCCTGCAAGGCAGACATGTTCTGCCAGGCCTTTGGTTGAGGACAGTGACAGTTTTCATCTCGGCTGGCCTCCTCCTCTGTTTTCCATGTTCGTCTCGACCTCTTTCCCCCACCTGCAATAATATGGGAACAATTAATAAGTGCTAGTATTTGCCAATTGTCTTTTAAAATGTATACTAATATGATTTATTGCTTTTATCTGGCCAGTGTTTTTAACGTTATTGTCAGAGCCTTGCGGTAGCAGGGATGGGATAGTTCATAAATTAAATAAATGAATGTTAACCAAAAGTTTGTCTGTTTGCTGCGCTATATGATTTATTGCTTTTATCTGGCCAGTATTTTTAACGTTATTGTCCATCGCTCAGAGCCTTGCGGTAGCAGGGATGGGGTAGTTCATAAATTAAATAAATGAATATTAACCAAAAGTTTGTCTGTTTGCTGCGCTTTCAGGAAAGAGGTAGTATTAGGGATGCCAAGTCCCACCAGGGGGCGGGGAAATCCCCGCCCGGGAGGCCCGTTCCCCGCCGCCGCCGGATCGGGCCCCCGGGGGGAACCCCACCCCCAAAGCACGTCACACAGAAGGGACGCAAGGACGTTAGGGATGTTGGGCGCGGGGCCACAATCATCCAAGGGAAAACTCTATGGTTTCCCCCCAAATGATTGTGGCCCCGCCCCCGACGTCCTTGCGTCACTTCCGTGTGATGTGCTTGCGGCGCGCGTGAAGACTCCCGGAGCAAGGCTGGACTCCCCCGCTCCGGAACAGGTAAGCACTTGGCAACCCTAGGTGGTATATTTGAAACTGTAGAGTTTAATCAATCCAAAGAGAGAGAAAACCTGACATCCATGAATCTTACAGTAACAGTTATTATTCTTTCCATTCAAGAATGAAGAAGTATTAAAGAAATGTGCACAGGAATACTTATCACGAGTAAAAAAAGAGGAACAAAGATACCAAGCCCTGAAAATTCATGCAGAAGAAAAACTGGACAGGTACTTACCAATAAAAGGGAGAGGGAGGGAGACCTGGAGTTTTGATCAAAGCCTTCATTCTAGTTTACTGCTGGTTCATATTTTTGCAGGGTGGATCTGATAAATTTGTAAAGGGACAAACTGATCAAAATTCTGTTCTAAGAACAGTCTATTGTGGTCTGTATAGGACTATGCCATTGAAGCCAATTGCACCTGTTGACATATATTTATTGCCTTATTTGTGAACATATGAAACCGCCTTACCTTCGGTCGGATCACTAGTCCATGTAGTTTAATAGTTTCTGTTGTGATGTTCAGTGGCTCTCCAGGATCTCAGGCAAAGAAAGCCTTTCTCAAGAAAATGCCCAAGAGCCTTACATGGAAAGGCCAAGAATTGAACTTGAGACCCTGTACATGCAAAGCATGCATGTTCTAACATTGAACCATTTCTTCTGCATACGATGAAGAGGGATGAAGCACTGTAGAGACTACTGAATCTCTGTCAATTATTACTGGAAATTCTTCTCATCCCATCTCCCCATGACACTTCACCCCCAGGTTCTGAGAACTCATTAAGCATTGCTTAAACTTTCAAACCTTAAGTGCTAGGCATCTGCTTTTTAAACTCAGTGTTGTTTTTGGTATCCAGTACCAAACTTTGTACATGCACAGTTTAATTAACACCATCATAGTGCAGATACAGCTTTTTCTTATGATAAAATTCCCATTGGATTATTGTGTGGCATGAGATGCAGTAATGGGATCACTTTTTGCAAATTCTGTGGCTGAATAACATTGTACCCTGGAAGCTTCTGACTCCATTGCCCATTAGCACCGATGTGCACATTCTTCTTATTCAGAAGACGTCAAAAGAAGACACTCATCCTCAATCACTCTCTCTCATTTCTTATAGAGCCAATGCTGAAATTGCACAAGTCCGCAGCAAGTCTCAGCAAGAGCAAGCAGCTTACCAGGCTAGTCTCCGTAAAGAGCAGCTGAAAGTGGATGCATTGGAAAGAACACTGGAACAAAAGGTAACTTGTTGCAGGCTATGTTATAATGCTCATTGTAGAAGCACCATTGTGTTTGGTACCTGCAATTACAATGTGGCAGTTAGGGTTAACCCTAAGCCTAAACAAATCCAGAATGGGACAGTTCTGGTCACTATTATGACTAATTAATGATTTCTAGTAAATGCAAGGCACAGTTAATTATCCCGTAATCAAAATTCTGTACATTCGTACTCAAGCATTCATGCCGCAACTGGTAAAAGCCAGGACTTGACCACTGGTCTACGGAATGACTTGTGCTTTGAGCTCCCTGCTTTCCACTGACAGTGAGCCTTGGCTGGTGATCACTTGATCATAGAGTACAGTGGTGTTTTTTTAATTATTATTTAAGCATTTGTAAACTTTAATAATATACCCCCAAGAAAAAAATACAGCACTTACATATCAGAAAAGGGGAGAAAAAGTAGAGTCTTGCCTGTATCTCTCTAAACTCCAGAAAGTTTTTTTAAAGGTCTGGACAGCAATAAAAAATATGGGTAACTGTAGAAAGAGATTTTGAGGTGTGCAACATTGATTTGAATAATTTCATATCACAATCTATATGCATTTTAAAATTGCAGGCACAAAATATTACAACCATGGAGTACAGTATTGATATCATTACAGTTCACATAGAAGTGGGATATATACTGTTGGAATGTATAGTACATAGCACAAAATAACACCTTGGTAGCCTTGGAAGAGCTGCTTTCTGGTTCCCATTAAAGCTGGTCTGTACTTTATGAGCATTTTGTAGATTCTGACTGCAACATTCTCCCGAAGTGGTGGTTCTATGCAGTGACTATGAACAAATGCTTTGCATACTCCGTGAGCTGGTTCAGACAATACATAGATAGCCCTGTATAATGTGGAGAGGGAGAAAGCTGCCTGGACCCCAGCCAAGCCCCGCCTCTGATGCCAGGGGATATAATATGCAGCAATGTTCCCTCTAAGCTATGGAGTCTTGTGAGCAAAAAACTCTCCTTGGTGAGCTACCGACCTTAAAGTTGTGAGCGAGCGATTCGGCTACCGCATAAATTAGTTTGCTCTGGAGCCGTCCTTCCTGAGCTGAGACAAAAAATGTGTGAGCCAGAGGCTAAAAAACTGTGAGCTAGCCCACACCAGCTCAGCTTAGAGGGAACACTGATATGCAGTGGTATAATATGTGGATGTTATGAAATCCAGTGTGTATAGGTACATGTGGTAGACCTAAATTAAATCTAGGCTGCAGACATGGAGCCTACAAACATTGCATCTGATCAGATTTAGATGTTTACAACAGTATGTGGAAGTGGAATAGGGAGACAAGGCATGCTTTCACCTCCTACACGTTCCCAGCTATGAGTATTGCTCAAACCAGCTCATAATGTCATTTATGTACAGATCACATTTTTTAGAGGCTGAGCTGAGCAAGCTAAACATTGGTTTAAAAAACAGAATTGAGTTCTCAGTGTTTATGTGCAACATTAAAGGTTAGCTCCTGTACTTAACCAACAGACTGGAGCTCTTCAGATGCGTAATGATGAAGTGTGTGTGTGTGTTTGTGTGTGTGGGGGGGGAGGTGAATTGACTGGCTTGCAGATAGTCCAGACTATGGACTGAATCCAGACTAAGTTTTCTGCTAACAGAAAGCACTTCTGTCAGCAGAGCAGCAGTTTCCTGCTTTCCCCTTCTGCGGTAGCCAATTGATGTTCTCCTGAGTTACAGGGTACCCCCAGGAATGACATGAGGGTCAAACAGGGGGGTCTCCAAGGAGAACTGGTAGAAATTACACCTCCTTCTCTGTCGGTCTGGATCCAACTCATAATGTTAAACTAAAAGTTTATTCTAACAAATGCTTACAATATTTGTTGGTTGGCTTGTTTTTAGAATAAAGAAATAGAAGAATTGACAAAGATTTGTGATGAACTGATTGCCAAAATGGGGAAAAGCTAACTTTTAACCAAAATCATGGATTTCAACCTCGAGTGCAATATGACCATTGGCACACTGATGTCTACACATTGATGTGGACGGGATCTATTTTCACGTTTTTGTATGCACTACTGTATTTTTTTCTTTTCTTAAAAATATTGATTTGATTGTATGCAGTACTAAGAAGACTATCAGAATTCCTTGCTATTGTTTGCAATTTTTTCCTAGTATAATTCATAGCAAGTTGATCTCAAAAGTTCCTGTATCAGGGAGATTTGTCAAGGTCTTTAATAAATTACAAGTTGCTCAGCCTAGCCTTCCCTTTGTACATGAGTTCCCATGTTGGATGTCTTTTTTTGGATTTAATATAAACGTGTATTACTTGCATGGGGACTCTTGCCTTAAGGTGTGTAAATTTGCTCTGCATTTGCTGATTTGTAAAATAAAATGAAGACTTGAAGAAG